CTCTGGTGGGAATTAAACAGCTGGGAAAATATCTGAATTTGCAAACTCAGCTTCAGTAAACAACCCGAATGAAGAGTAACAGAAAACCTTTGTTCACGATCGTTTTAGTTTTTCCTCAAATCTTTTAAACCAAGAATAAATCAGGATTTCAGGAATCAAACAAACTGCTGGACGAAGTTCCAACAGGCGGAGATCTTTGTCCCAGCAGTGATGCTGAAAAGTGGAAATACAGTCACATGACATTTACAGCCTGTGCATTATGCACGCTGTGCACCAGCCTGCGTGTGCGTGTGCACGTGCACCAGCCTGCGTGTGCGTGTGCACGTGCACCAGCCTGTGTGTGTGTGTGTGTGTGCACTTCACGATATGACAGAGGGTCTGGTTGCAGCTGTTGCTGTAGTTACCATGGCTGCTTTGTTGGTATTGCTTCTGTTGCTTTAGTTATGCAGACGTTGCTGCACACGCAGAGCTTGGTTGTCTCTATGTGTGTTGGTGTCTTTGTGGAGATTCTAATACTCTCAGCTGAGACTGTCTCACCTGCTTTCACACCTCTGAATTTAATTTTTTCCCTTCAAGATCAGAAACATAACGTACCCCCATGATTTTGCTCCTCTGCTCCACATCCTCCCACATGGAGTGCACGATGTAACGGCACATGTACTTCCCCTCTCTGCCCTCCTGACGCATCCGCACCAAACACATCCTGAGAGCACAAGAACACAACAAGGAGACTGAAACGAGCGCACAGCCTTAAATCGCTGTGACGAGTGAAGCCGTGTGCTCATCATATGAAGAGCGTCACTGTCCCAGCAGGAGCAACACCGACATCATTACATCATTAAAAACTCGATCAGACGCTTCCAGTTACACCACATTAACACATCAATAATAATACAATTATATATTATATGCATTCTCTCACTGTGAACTGGATTCTTTGCTACAGAGGACGTTTAATGTGAAGGAAGATAACTGTCAAAGTAAAATTACATCACATGACACACACAGAGCAGCAGACAGCGCGGTCGACACGGACCAATCAGCACACAGATTCCTCAGAGCAGCAAACAAACCATCTGATTGGCTGATTGGATAAATCCAGCTGTACAGGTGTACCTAATAAACTGGTAGCTGAGATGATGTGTTTGTGCGACTCACCATACGTGCAGCTGTGCAACCAGGAACCAGGAGTTGAGAGTGTCAGGGAGGGTGCACTCTGAAACACACACAT